ATAAAATAAAGACCAATGATAATGTTTGGTTTAGCTTTTATTATAATTCATAAAATATTTATCGTCACTTCTTCTGTCATTGACTCGTTGTATAGTCAATAATGCTAAATGATTATTGTAATATTGTCATTGCATATATTATATAAATACATGAGTACATTTTTTTTTTAAATTTCCACTTTAATAACGACTGTAAAATAATTGCCATATTGGTGTATATTATTTTAACGGGCCTTTTGACTTAATGATTATAACTGGTACCCATGCTTATAGCCTCCCCTTTGCCTAAAAAAAAAAACGCCACGCCGTACGTACTATGATAAAAACATATCATAATAAAATAATATACAGGTACCTTCCAACTACCATTTATGTGCACCTGGGCCATTCTAATTTAAATATTAAAACTCATTGATCATCACAATTAATGCTCTATATACTACATTTATATCGTCCCTCTATAGTGCAGACATTCATGTCACATGGTATAGACTCAATACCATGTGACTGTGACGTGTGTATTAACTATTAGTATTATATTGATTATATTAGGTACCTACTATATTAAATTATGTATAATAATATAGATTTTGAAATTATATATTATTATGACTTAATTACGTTGGAAATCGCAATTAGGTACCTATAATTTTTGTATAGGTAACGTACATATGTAGAGACAGGCATAATGATTTGTGAATAATTTAAACTCGAGAGTGTCAGTTCAAACATTTTTTTTAATATATTAAATTTGGTACTACTTATCGTAAAGTACATGTCATTATAAATTGTAATTGAATTTAGTAAAATACATGATTTTACGATATAAATAAAAAAAATATTACAAGGATTACTTGATTACAATAATTAAATACAGTTTACAGTTGATTACCTAAGGCTCATGTTCTTGAGCAGAGGTGCTCATTCGAATAAATTAATAAAACATATTAGTAGATAACTAGTACTAGTTTTAATTATATATTTATGTAATATGTGTATAAATTAATAACGATATAATTGAAAATTTATTTTTCGTGTATAGAAAATGATCAAATAAACATTTTGTGAAAATTACAAGTATCTATCTACGGTTCTATGTTTTTGAATTACAACAAAATAGGAAAATCGTTCGATAAGAAATCATTAATTTACGGTTGAATATCCAATTTTGTAAAAATGTAAACTTCAAAAGCTCATGAACATTTAATTTGACTATCCAATAAACTTTTTTTTGTTAAAGTTAGAAAAACGTATGAGAAATCTTGAAAATTACATTTTCAAAGTTTTTGACCGAGAATATGTTTTTATCAACATTTGAAGAAACAAAAACCAAAAAAAAATCGAAAATTACATTTGTCTATAAACAGCTCAAAAGGGATCAAAATATTTTTTTAAAACAACTTACTTCATAATGAATATTGATCATTATTACTATGATGGTTTAATAGTTTGATAAACGTCATTATTTACAATGATTTCAAGCCCAATACGTTTCGATAAGAGTAAAGATGTCGAATATTAATGTGTCGGGCTTCAGAAAAGTTATAATGTTTTATTATAATAATATGATGTTTAGAATTCAAAATTGTGTTATTATGATTAATACATTTTATCATCACACTTTTTATATTATATATCAATTTTTTGTTTTTGGTTGACTATAACTAATGATTGTATTACATTTCAATTATTATTATATAATATATAATTGAAAATTACGTTAGTATGATTAACATTTATCATCACAATTTTTACTTAACGTGTACACTAAATTTTCCATGTTTATATTAATATTAAAAATATTATATTGAATAGTAGGTCGGCACGTAGCACTCGTTTTCTTATACCTGTGCATACGTATATCGCCGAAATAAAAAGATTAATTTTTAATTGCAATTAATTAATGATAACCTAATTTAAATTACATTTTTTAGTGTATCGCCTTTTGTTACAAACGTGGATTTATCTTCATAACTCATTCCCTAGGTACTTAATATGATATGCTATCAAAGCCCCTATAGTAACTCTAAAACTATTAATTCCAAAAACATTTTTTTTTCATATAAATTTGATTTATTTCAATTTGTTTATTTATTTATACACACACAACATCTCAAGAGCAGAAGTAGTGATTCAATGATGCTCCAATAGTGCAATATTTATTACAATATTACAAAATTGTAAATACATATTTATCATTGCATTATATTAAATTAATTTATTATTTATAATTTACGCTTTACAAAGAAAAATAACTTGTTTTTCGTGTGTTTTAAAAATAAACACAATTTTTCGAAATATTCTTTATGCACTATAGCGATATTACAAATTGCATTGCCAATGTCAATTTTTTAATAGCGCTTTAAAAAAATATAGTTATAAAATGTTTATTTCATGGTTGGTTTTAGGTTTGTGATGGTTATTGATTTTTTATTTATAAAAAGGATGTCTAGTTTTCTCCTTAATAGCTAATCCGGCAATCGTAGGGCTAAGAATAAATATATATTTATGTAGAAAAAACGTTATTTTAAATTTCCTAAAGGAAACAAATATTCAAAGTTGGTACACACTAGAAAAGAGCCCCTACTTTGAATTTAGCCTATATATAATCTGTATAATTTACTAAACTTTTTTTCACAAAACGTACCTATATCATTAGCCATAGGAATATTCCTACATTTTTTTTCTATTATATAATAATTAATAGCCAATAATCCATATTAATTATATTATATTTGATTATGATTATGCGTATACGGTATACTATTAATATTTAGGTATATGTCGAAATAATATGTTAATAGTTAGTATAATGAAATTGCTAACGACATTATACATTTATACTATCGCGTTACGATGGAATACGGTAAGTCCGCTGAAACACGAGAGTGAAACCTCTGAGGACCAGTACCTATATTCATTCTGTTCAGATTGCGATCTCTATGGTTTATTTTCAGCTAGAATAGTATAGTACCTATCGCTGTATGTACGTATACTACACACACCTGTCGATTGTTTTTTCGTCTCCCAGATTGCATCGTTACCGAAAAAATGTAAATATATAATTGTATAACGTAATTTAGCGTAGTATAATATATAACAATACCTAAAAACAATTTCCGGTAAACGAGCCCAGAATTTCTATTTAATCTAGTGATTCCTAAAAACGGTAAAAACTGTTTTTTTAGTTAAACAAATTAACTATTATCTCAAAATTTCCATTGAAAATGTAAATATCAATTAAAACATTGCGGGCGGGCTGACAAATACGAATTTCCGGTGAATCATCGTTCCTTAGAAGAATGGCCAAAAGGTTAATAAAAATTAAGCAGGCAATTAAATGCAGTCCATTGTGTCTTAATTCAATCATCTGAAAACACGAGGTACCATAATGAAGATGAAAAAACACCCCAATACGCATAGGCCATTCCGTATATTCCATTAATTTAAAAGAATTTAAACGTCAGTGTCACAGTTTGGTTAATACTGAATGTAGATTAAAAAAAACAATAGTTAATTAAGACATATTATATAATTATTGATTGATAATTAGGCTTGAAAGATGAAGCTATAGTATACGTATGCCTATACAATCATCATATATATATATATATATCTCATATATTCCAATACATCTATCATCTATGTACCTAGGTACAGTAAAAATTGGTTATTCAAACAGCCGATACATTTGATCACATTAATTGGAACCTATATATACGTGATACATCATTATAAAATTATCGATGGAAGGTATGAAATTTAATACTTGTCGGAATCATCTAAATTGGATATGTCACTGAAGACAACTATTAGATTTCTACTGCATGATTATTTTTTAGCTATTATCATAGTATAGTAAATCGTAATTATTCAAACATAGTCAATATTATATTTTGTATTGTAGTTGTTTAACGCTCATCTTAAGAAAAATTAAGTCTGTAAAACACAAATATAGTTGTTTGTTTTGAATTGTTTTAAACTCTATAAAATGTATGGATCAGTAATTTTGAAAGTATGTGTTTTTTTTTAATTTAAACATTTGGATTGTTTATTTGTATTATAATATTATATTTATATACATATATGTTGTGAGCTGCTGCATAATGCGCATAACGAATAATACCATAATATTACAGTGTACGTCTAGACTTCTTAACATCACATCATCTTTTTCAGAATATAAAAATGTTTACGTAGTTAAAATAAGAGCAAATAGGTAAGCTATGGTGTTGAAATTTCTTACGACAGTGTCTCGTCGATTATATTTTATTTTATTCCATAGATACGAGGCTACGGAAAGGACGTCGAATAATACATATTTAATTCATTAAACTATAGTAATGTATAAAACTATAAAATATATAGGTTCATTTAAATACTACATAATGTTTCAACAAACAAACACACTGATTCAATATTTGTATTCTAATTAAAGTTCCATCTACTTTTTACATCAATAATTTAATTTATTATTTTTTTTTTTAAAACATTAGTTACTTCTAGGTTAGAAGAGCTACATGCATATAATATACAAATCATAAAAAAGTTTGTACTAGAAAAAAAAATTGAATTAAGTCATGCAGTATAAAATATATCATACAATATGAAGTATACAAACTATCAGAAATATAGAGATATTTATGTTGTACAAAGTCGTATAGACTATAGAGAATATATATAGGTACCTATACATAACGTATACCTATACCAGTTGAAACCATTTATTAAAATTGTCATTTTAAACATTATTTGGAACGTCTGCTTAGGACCAAACAATGGTGCCGTGCAGCGAGTATGTGAAACCGAATTGGATTGAATTACGTCTGACTGTCTGAGTATATGATACATATTTTACTCATTATTGCCGGGGTGACCTGATTTTATAGTCTAATTATATTGTCCGTCGTTTTATTAAAACACGAATGCGCGATCTATATGCGTGTATGCGTGTTAAAAAATCCCGTGATAGGTATGCATTATCGTATGTGGACTCGTACCTCTTTGTTTTTGTTTCTTGCACACGGGCTGCAAGAAAGCCGAATGCGGTGCTCTGCTACAGTCCTCGATTGCACCTTTGGTCATGTTCATCGGGTCGTTGCAACGTTGGTCCGTGTCCGTGGAGCACACCCAACAGTTGATCGCTGTGCCTGTGTACAGCACGACCGAAATCATAAATATTTGTAGGTAATATAATCCCGACGGATGGTTTATCGTGATCAAAATGAGCGACTTACTGTGGTCCGGTAACAAGACGAGACACCCGAATGCGAAGACAACCATCGCGTACATCTGACAACGGATCATTGTTTGTTGTTGTATATGGTCGTGGATTTATCAAAAATAGAAATTATAAAACTAGACGGTATATGTAATAATATTCCCGGGGAATTAAAAAAAAAACTGTGTGTTTTATTTCAGAATCTGTGGATAATTAATGTTGAGAATAGACCAACACTTCGGAGCACTGTGCAAGACTGTTCGCCGGACGGGATCGCAAACGACTATACCGACCATCAGGAGCGTACGGTGGAAAGCTCTCTTGCTCCCCTACCCCCACCACTACTATTTTAGTACCACATTGTTGCTCGACGCCCCCCTTTGTCGTCCTCTATATATATATATATATATATATTAATAATATTGTACGCACCGTATTATGCATTACACATTTACACTACATATATATGTACACGATATTGTATAGGTACTACGTTATACTATATTATATACTGCCCATGTATACAGCATTATGGCTCAATTGTGTTTTTTCGCTGCACTGCAATAGTGTTCCAGCGAAGCCCGTTATTCAACACGTGTGCGTCCTATATACAATTATTATTTATTGTGTTGGACGACACCGATCTCTCTGACCACGTCTTAGACTTAAGTGCCATTGCCGCACTGCCGCGGTACACGCGACACTGCAGTCTTAACTATCCAACGATGCCGCCGATCTGTACCTATAGGGCATAGGCCTATAATACGTGCACTGGATACATACTTGTACAATATGTTGTAGGCTATATATTTGCGTGTAATATACAGCTACAGGTTTGTTTACAGTGAACACGGTATATACCTGTTTAATGAGGAGTAGCGGACAGACCACAGACGGCGACTATAAATAATTATACCCTGAGCCACCACGTAGAGTGACGTGTCGAATTCGTGTTCATAACCATCCGATTTCCTCGTGGAAATAATATGTATTTATACTCTTTAAAAAAAAAACAACAAAGTACAATGTACAACTATATACTCCGAGTACCTACATATCGACCTGCCTTACTTGTACATAACACGATATGAAAACAAAATCATGGAGATTGGAGAAGATGCTATCCATAATATAACATATAATTTCAAAAATAGCGGGTAAGTGGATGTCGCTCGGCTGTACATTTATAGGTGTCTAGAAGGGCGTCGTAATGGATGATATTAAATTTGAATTCAATGGTATTATACAATTGTATATTATACGAAAAATAAATCTGAGCGGAGACGGTATGTCAGTCTAGGATGTTAAATTAGATTTACATGTTTATATTGTTATTATTACTTATTAATTTATTATTAATACGATAGCCGGTAAGTTAAATTAATATTATTCGTACAATTTTTCTTAAATTATCATTGATGCTGGAAAAATCTCTATGTATAAAATGACTTGTCCTGAGTCCTGACTGATTCGCAACCGCTGAATCTATGAATATACAATTTGGATAGTAATTTAATTTTGTGATGTAGGCACTCACTAAGAAAGGATTTTTCAAAAATGCAATTCCTACAGAGATTATAATGGTGAAAATGGGTAACGGGGTAATAATGGAAAATATTGATAGAAAATTATATTTTTATATGCACCTTGATCGGTGCATTTGCTATACAATTTGTCGCCGAAATACTAAAATATACTCATTTTTTTCCATATTCTGGTTTTTACAATACACGGGCAACCCCTAGGGTCAGTCGATATATCTAAAAATAACCGGCAATGTAAAAACTGATAAAATAAAAAGTTATGCGTAGGTAATACAAAAAACTGCACATGGAGGGAAGCCAGGTTATTTAGTTAGTATTACATATACTTATGTAAAATTGGGCTGTCTTGGAACCGAATTATACAAAAAAATAACTAAAATCATTATATACTTAGTGATATTATGTGATCTCGTCTAAATTTGAACTTGAAATAATTATTAAAAAGGCAATGCTTATGTTTATTTTTAGATTGTTTGGTTACAGAATTAACTGCTTACGTGGAACCTTGTTTTAAATGTTCAAACCTCAGCTTTAAAAGTTGATCATTCAATACATTTTTAAGTACAAAATCTGCTCCAGAGTGAACTGAATACCCCGAAAACTTGGTCTTGACATCTTGGCTTGGAGCTCTGTATTCCTAAGTGTCATTGTATGTCATTCAAGCGTTCTTATAGTCCTATTCGGCATGGTTATTTAATTGATGGTATCAGATTAAATTTTTCTGATAGCAATATTGTTGACCTAGGTATCACATTTTATCGCACTCTAAATAAAATGTCCATGTTGACAAAATCACGTGCTCATTTTGAAAATACTTGGTTTCATCAAGAGAATTTTATCTGAGTTCAATATATGTGTAGTTCTTTAAAAGCTCCTTATTGTGCTTTTGTTCGTTCTCGCCTGAAATACGTTGTTGTGATTTGGGGCCCTCAGACTTTACGTTACTTGCCAAATTGAACGTATTCAGCAAAAATTCTTGAAATATGCATCTTTTGCTACGTTTATATCGACTGCCTACCACACGATTATACACCAGTTCTAGGGAAATTAGAACAAACGCTAACCTAGTTTTCTAATCGAAACTCTTGACTGGGGAAATTGATGCTCTAGATATATAAACGAGGATAAATTTTAATATTCCCGCGGTGCTAATTTGCATTGCTTTCCATGTCCCGTTCTGTGTGACAAATTATTTATATAATTGCGTATGATGCTATTAGCAGATATATATAACCTAACCATCACTTCTAAGCAATTCTTTTTTGTATCAAAATATTTATTATCAATGTTGTATCAACATGTCAAGGGCCTGTCCCGTTTATTATTATAATAAATAAATAAATATATAATAAAATCATTTTTCAATTTTTAATTTGAACAAGTGATTATCAAACAAAAAAGGGGCCTATGTATTTTCAATATTTTTCAACTGATATTGTAACAATATATCAGAAGCCTTGTATTAAAATTTCACGCTTTCTGACCCAGCAAATAAAATTTAATTGATATTTATAGAAAAAAACTAAAAATTGTTAATTTGATGAATGTTATGAAAATTTCAACTTAAAACGCTCATAAAATTTTAATTTGAGTTTCTGGTAGAATATTGATAAAGGTAGACAAACTTTTAAGAAATCTTGTATTAAAATGTTTAAATTTTAAGATATGAAAAGAAAAATGTATATGCATTTCTTACTCAAATTAATTTGCTAATTTGAGTGATTTTTACGAATTTTGTCAAAATTCTAAATTCAAACTCTCATAAAAAATTATTGTGGATTTATGCTCAATTATTTTTTAATTTCCACTATAATAACAACTTACTTATAAGGAACCTTTTTCAAGATTTTCGACAAAGCGAACAATTTTTTTATCGAACGTAGTTTGAAAAAAAACTATTAATAATCGAAAATTGCATGTCCTTATAAATAGTTCAACACGAGTCAAACAATTTTGAAAAGCTTGTGGTGTATAGAAAATGCCAACACAAACATTCAGTGAAATTTTCATGTATCTGAGGTCAAAAGTCAAAATGAAAATTGGTTTTGCTTAAAAATTCTCATTTTCCTCAATTTTTTGTTTTTTTTCCGGTCGCTCTTGAATGCTATTGGGAATTTCAAATTTTGACCCTCAGAATGTACCAACCAGATTTACTTTCCTGTCAGAAAAGTGGCCGTTGAAGAAAATCGAATCATTTGCACTGCCTCAAACCGTGATGACGGACACAAAAAAAAAATGTATAAAAAACTCACATCATTGTAAAATCAATACATTCATCACTCCGCTCAGAATCTAAAATTTGGACTATTATAGCTATTGGGTAATACTCTGTTATATCGCATCTTTATATTTAAATACCTACCTACACGGAGCAAAATATTATTCGTATGAATGTTTTTTAACGAAAATGTGGTCAACACAAGTTAGAGAATAGTTAGTGTCTAGTGATCCTAGTATGATTATTAATTCATGGTAAGAATCTATTAAAAGCCATGGTATTTAGATAATCATTACTTATTTTAGAGTTTTTCACAATACCAATATTAATATCTCCACAGACAAAGTATGCATTTTTCTCACTCATTCGAGATAAGTTTGATTCTGAATCATTGATACAAGTAGGTATCTATATCATCGTTGGGAGATCTATAAAATATAAACACAATGTAAACAGAATAAATCATTATTTATGTTAAGAGTAATAGGTGCAATTGTTTTCAACCCATAAACCTAAATAATATGAAGAGATAAAAAAACCACGCAGCCTTTCGTGTTTTCTCCTCGTTATTTTAGAAATTATTACTGAACGGACCGAATGGAGCCACGTTGCTTAATGCTTATAATATCGTAATTCGTGATAGAAACGGAGACATACCCAGCTGGCTACGGCTACCCCTATATATGGATAATGTATAGGTACACGCGGGAGGGGTTAATAGAGAGTTCCATCAACTTCACATGTACGGTGATTATCTCCGGCCAGCGATAGTTTAGATTTACACCGCAATAATAATAATTATTATTGTATCGTAAGAATAAAATAATTCGTGTGAGCAACACGTCTTGTTGTCAACGCGCAGAATAGATACGATTGTGTTATAACGGGGATACGGGCTATTATATAGGTGTATGTATATATATATATATATATATATGTACATATTTTATAGATAGATATTATATATACATAACCTTAATAACTATTGACCCTGCCCAATTGAACCCAATCGTGAATAAGCTATACCGGATCCTAGAGGTGCGTCTTTCGAATGATAAAACCCATTTAATTTCTATTAGCATACTTTTAATTACGCCGAGAGAGTGTATATATATTATTTAGTATTCGTCTATACGAGTGAACAAAACATGCAAATTAACGGGTGTTTACATCATCGAAGGAAACAAAATGTTTGTACACCGCAGTTTACGGTTACTATGGTTAGTGTACCAGAATACAGCCAGAAATTCCAAATCATCGACGAGTGATCATTAGTCGTATTTATAGGAGATGAAACTAATGAGTTGGCAATATTTTAATCTGTAATTGTTAAACGTTTAAAATGTGGTCTGATTATCGTGTTAAGTACTAGTATCTCGCTCATAATGAAAAAAATAAAACAATCAAATGTTTTTATTATAATCAGGATTTCAAAATGTAAGATTAAAATAGTATATGATAACTACTTTTATACTTATTATTGGTATTATTTCCAGTCCCACCACAAACTAATTAATTGTCTAACAACCATAAATCCAACT